ACTACTGTGGCACAAAGCAGCAAAATAACTTGCCCCAAGTAACACCGCTACTCAAATGCACTGAGCAGATGTGACTAAGAAAGTGCTGGGACAAGGACTTACCTTCCAACTGCCTTCTGCCACGAAATGACACTCGGTTTTTACAAACATCTTTAATTTAATGAAGAGTCCTGTCCTAAAGCTAATAAAATGGGAGAGGAAAGGGCCTGGGGGAAACGTGAAGGTGACCAGCCCTCACACATCCTCCATCGGCACTACCTGCACTCAAGAATCACGACACATCCCAGCCGCCCACCCGCACCAGGACCTGGAGCCAGGGGTCGCGGCAGGTGAGTGGGGTGCGAGCCCGAGGGGAAACCCGAGGCCTCAACACCGCAGGAGGGACTAAGGAGGCGGCCCCGGGGGAAGGCGCGAGATCGGGTCACCGCTGGGCGGTTCGGCACACACAAACGGCGCGATGGGAGCGAATGACCAGCGAAGCAGCTCCAGTTGGGGCCGCTGAGGAAGACGAGGCCGGACCCCTTACCTCTTCCAAAGCTGAAGCCATAGTGGGGCTGGGTCAGGCCGAAGCCCAAGCTGCAGCCACACACAGGAGGGAGCAGGAAATGCAGCGCCAAGCACGCTCACCCCGAGGGCAGACCCCACGGCACAAGTCGCAGCGCCCGCAGCCTGTGCGTACGCCCGACCCGACCTGCGCGCGATCACCGCCCACCCTCCGCACGCCCCAGCTCTGGAACCTTCGCGAGGCCGCCACCACCACCCACCGGGAGCACCGCCCGCTCCCCCAGCCCCGCCCCGTCGAGCCTGGCCCCGCCCCCCGCCGAGCCTTCCGGCAACGTCAACCTCTCGCGAGCTAGCCAGTACTTCGAGACGAGAACCGCCTCTTCCTCCCGCCCTGACAACAGCAGTGTTACGCTTCAACCGCGTTTGCCTGGCTGCGCAGCCGCAACTCGGAACGGCTGCCTTAACCCGGCCCCGGAAATAGCGCACCCATCTTCGGAGTCCGCGTCGGAAGTTGGCTGGAGAGTCGTTTGTTTTCGTCCTCTTCGGGAGTCAGGCCGCCATCTTGTCTAAGCTAGTGAGCTTACGCGAGAGAAAGGGGAAAGGAGGCAGTCTAGCTATGCGGAAGCGGGAATGAATGAATGCGTTAGGCCTGGAGGTTTCCTGAAGGGAACGGTTTAATTTTCAGTGGGTTTTGTCGCGCTGGAGACGTCACAGCGGTCTAGCATCTCTGGCGTGGTGGCGTCATCACTGGCCGCGGTAGTGGGTGGGGTTGGTTTGGGCACGTGACCGGCCCCGGGGTTAAGGTGGCTGGCAAAAGGCGACCTTGCTGTGACCGCAGTTTCCGTCCAGCCTTTGCCTCTGGCACTCGAGGAGCACGCTTTCCTGCTGCCTCAGACCTTTTCAGGCCGTTGAAAGAGTCTCTGGCGCTCCCCTTGGTTTCGTGAGCCTGTTAACTATTTAAGAAAATAGGAAATTGCTTTTCCTGGGTCTGTGTTCTGTCCTGGTTCTAGTCTCTCAGATTCAAGGAGATCCCGGAAAGCCCACTTTTCAGGTTATTTTAGTCTCTGGCATCAAGATGTCTGCAAGGCGGTTGAAATCTTAACCCTGAGAGGTCAAATAGCCCGCACGTTTTAGATCGCCCAAGATAATGACTAGAATCTGTAAGTCGGAAGGAAGAAACCTGCTAGAAAAATGGAGGCTATTATCGTAGTAAAAAATCGGAAGTAACTGTCCAGAAATAGGTTACCGAAACAGCCTGCGTGAATTTCACAAAAGAAATGGCGTTGACGTCTAAACCCCTCAAAGCTTTGGTTGGGGAAGACAATGACAAAAATGAGCCACCAGGGGGCTTTTGAAGTACAGGTTATGTTCCTTTTCTTGATTTGCATGTCGGCCAGATGGGTTAACTTTAGAAATACTAAGCCATACATTTATATTTGTGTGAGAAGTTTCTTTTTGTAGGTTATACAGACGGTCCAGCGGGAAATTTTCCAAGATACTAGGAATGTTACACTGATAGATAACAATTCTCAAGGTTCATGAAATGAACTCCTGGGATCTGTGTGTTTCATTGTGTATTAATTATACTTCAGCTTTTTAAATGTCCAACCAGTAACCTGGAATTATTAAATAATTTAGTAAGAACAAATATCCCATTACACTGGGTGAAAGCTTGACCTAATGCAATGAATGGTCATCACATTCTCTTAGTTGCTCGTGCCAAGGAGTCATACTTGGAGTTTTCAGTCACATGCCCTACATCCTATTTTATGGTATGTCTTGTTGGCATAATCTTCAAAATATGTCGAGAGTTAGCACCTTCCTTTTATATAGGAATATATTGAGAAACACCTGATATGATGAACCCCATGCTACCTCAAAATATGGCACCTTAGCACATTGACAGTTGTGGCAATTGCACAATTGTGAGAATTGTGTGCTAAGGTGCCATACACTGAAGGAATTCCTGTGCAAGAATGTCTCTAACCTTCCTTCATCTTGCCCTGAACTAGATCATTTGACCTTCCTGTGAGCGGTGCTGTCCATATACCTGGAGGAAAGGAGTATCCTTACCTCTGAAAACACAGACACAGGAATATGAACATGAGGCCCTGCTAAGTTGACCTCAGTTTATTAATCCTACATCACTCATTTTGCCCTCTCGGATTTTCCCAGAACTCTATTCTTCATCACATCTACCAAAAGAAACACTAAACTTACATTAAAAAGATCTGCATTTCGTTACAGGGACCCCAGCCAATAAATTTAAGATGAGTGGAAGGAAAAGGTATTTTTCCTAGCCTATGCACCCAAGACCAAGCCATCATTATTTTGTTTGAATTTTTAGCTTCCTCACTGGTTTCTCTGTTTCCCCACTGTGCCTTTATAGTTAGTTTTCCACAGAGCAGCTAGAGAAATCTTTTCAAATCATTATATCCCTTTACTTAAAAATCTCTCACAGCTTCCTATTAGGCTTAAAGTACAAACTGCTTACTGTGAACTTTAATGTTCATATGATCTTATCTCACCTTTATGAGCCTCCTGTCTTCACAGAACTCATCTCCCACCTCCCTGGTTTAAACAGTCTGGCATTTTGTCATTCCTTGAACCCACTAGATTTCCTATCGCCTTCAAGTCTGTACTCTGCTTTCTCTCTACCCAACCCAGAATGCTCTTCCATGTTTTTTCAATGTATTTAGGTCCCTAAAAAGTAACACTAGGGAGGCTTGTCCAGGCTGTGTTAAGTTTCAGTCAGAAGGAAAATCAGGGGCAGTGCCTGTGGCTCAGAGGAATGGGGTGCTGGCCTCATATGCCAGAGGTGGTGGGTTCAAACCCAGCCCGGGCCAAAAAATTGTAAAAAAAAAAAAATAAAAAAGAAGGACAATCAGTAGGAGGTGAATAGATATTTATATCAAGGAATTGGCTTACACAATTGGACTTGGTTAAGCAAGACCAAAATCCGCAGGCCAAGCAGGCAGGAGTGGAGGATACAGGCAGGTTCCCTCCACTCCCCAAATAGTTTGAAGGTTTTGTCCAGTGGAAGTCAAGGAGGGAAGAAGACACAAGCTGTCTGGAAAAGCAGGGTGACACTCCATGCTTTTCAGGGAAACCAACTGCAGTCCTGATTTTAAAGCCTTTGACTGATTGAATCAGGGACACGCAGGTTATCCGGGATAATCTTTAAGTGAACTAATGAAGGGCTTTAATTACATATGCAGAATACCTTCTCAGCAACACTTAGTGTTTGAATAGTTAACTTGGGAGCAAGGTAGCCAAGTTTACAGATCAAAACCATGGTGCCAATCACTCTATGAATTTTATCTTTACTGACCTTACTTACCCTTTCTCTCTACCCTCTTATCCTGTTTTATTTTTGTTTTGTTTCTGTTTGTAGACAGTCTCCCTCTGTTGCCCAGGCTGGAGTGCCACAAGGTCAGCAACCTCAAACTCCTGGGTTCAAGCAATCCTCCTTGCCTTAGCCCCTTGAGTACCTTAGACTATAGGCACCTGCCACAACACCTGGCTGATTTTTTTTTTCTATTTTTAGCAGAGATGGGTCTCATTCTTGCTCAGATTGGCTTAGAATTCCTGAGCTCAAGGGATTTTTCCTCCTCCTCCTCCCAGAGTGCTAGGATTATAGGTGTGAGTCATCATGCCTGCCCTCTGGTCTTTATAATACCTGAAATTTATTCCTCTTTTTACTATTTTAACAGTCATTCTCAATTGGGAGTGTTACTGGATTTTTGATACTGTATTTCTAGGCTCTTGGTCTCGGCGGTTTGAAGAATGAAGCGACGGACCACAGGATAGGTTTTATTCAACAGGTATAAGTGTTATAGCTCTTATAACAAGCCAAACCTCCTTGTAGAGTAAAATTAGCAGTAAGATAGGTTTTATAATACGAGTGTTACAGCTCTCATAAAGGAGCAAACCTTGCAAGTGTTTACAGCTTTTATAAAGGAGCAAACCACCTTGTGTTTACAGCTCTTATAAATCTGTGCTCAGGGTCTCTGGCTTATCTAGGGGCAGTTGTCCAATGAGCTTTTGGGGCTTGAAAATAGACTAATCGTGAATAGATTTTGAAAATGGACCAATCAGGGATGCACTGCAGGAATCGAAGTCCACGTGAGGAGACAGCACAGAGCCAGTGTCTTTCCCTGCACGTGTTCGGTTCTTTTGGCTACTGGAGCCTCTGTTGGGGGAGGGAAGCTCCCCCTTTTGCTCCAGCCTGCTGGTTTCTGTGCCAGCTGCCACCTAGGCAGAGCCAGCAGGTCCTCTAGCGCCCCTCTACTGGAGCCTTTGGTGGGGGAAGAGAAGCTCCCATCCACTTGCTCCAACCTGCTGGTTCCTCTGCCAGCTGCTGCCACCAAGGCAGAGGTGGCAGGTCCCCAAGCCCCACTCGGCTGAGCTGTCTGGGGCGCCACTTTTCTGGCATCAGGAGCAAATGTGGATATTTTGCTCTCCCTATCCTCATATATTTGACATTTAGGGTTGACACTGCTGGAGAATGTTTCAAAAATCTGAGTGTCATCTGTACACAGGGGCCCATACTAGCTTTCTCTGTATCATTTCCGTTTTAGTATATGCTATCAAAATGAGCCCTTTTGAAAAAATTTGACTGCTTTACCTTTAATGTTTAATATTACCTCATTGTTTAAAATTCTACATGGACCAAATGACATGTTTTTGGTTCTGGATTTGGGCCACAAGTTGTAATTTTACAACCTCTGATCAGTATTTTTAACTACATGCTGAATTCTAAGAGGAGCTGACCAATCTCTTGGCTTTCGCTTAGGTTCCGTGGATTTCCATAACAAAATACAAAGGCAAAGTAGACACCTTTGGGATTCTCTGAACTCTAAAAGTGCCTCCACTTTCAAGAGAGCTTGTCAAGTTCTATTTGAATTATATAGTATCACCCATCTTGCTATACCTTGAAAGATTAGCAGGAGTCACCTGATCCAGGATTAGCTAATCAGATGTTTGTACGAATTTGGAATTGGTACACTGAGATGCTAGTCCACCTCTGCTGACTATCTTGGTAGTTGTCTACTTAGAATCAGAACAAGCGTGTTTTCAGAGAGGGGAGAATAAATAAAGCAGGTATTACCTGGCAGGATGAGCAGAAGAGTGATCATAGAACAGTTGCTTGGAGTCCTGATGACATTCCAGTCCTTGTCCAGTGCCTCTTCAGACTTACCCATTTGGTCTTTGGGATCCATGATATAGATGGCCCTATTTCCTTTTAATTGACTTTTAAAATTACTAAGCTAGCTTTCAAGGGTTTTTTGTCGCTGAAACCAAGGAACTTCAATAGAGTGGAAAATAGGGCACTGCAGTGGTGCTATACAGGCTATGATTTTGCAAGGTATATTCTTTTTTTTTCTTTTTTTTATAGAGAGACAGAGTCTTACTTTTTCACCCTCGGTAGAGTGCAGTGGAGTTGCTCCAGCAACCTCCAACTCCTGGGCTTAGGCGATTCTTCTGCCTCAGCCTCCCAAGTAGCTGGGACTACAGGCGCCCGCCACAACGCCCGGCTATTTTTTGTTGCAGTTTGGCCGGGCTGGGTTTGAACCCGCCACCCTCGGTATATGGGGCTGGCGCCTTACTCACTGAGCCACAGGCGCCTCCCGCAAGGTATATTCTGTGTATGTTTTCTTTCAAAGTTGACAACTGTAGTGCCAGGTAAAAAGTGTTACATAAACACTGGGTTCAAATGAATCAGAGTAAAGCCCACTAAAAAAAAATTGAGAAAGACATATATGGACTTAAGAACAAATGTTTATTACTATTTAATGGGAATACAGGGGCAACACAAAGCATTAAGAACATCACTGGCTCACAAAAACAATCACCTTGTTACCTTCTTGGTTGCATTTGTTTATTGCACAAGGCTTCATTCACACAGGAAAAGAAGATACTAATCCAGTTCAAATTCATAATGATTATAAAAGTAAACATTTGTTGGAACAATGTACAATAAATTGCACTTTTTTAAACAAGCATTACATTTACATTTATAGAGTGTACTATACATAATACAGGGAGCTATGGAAACATCTAATTGGTCAGTGTTTAAATAAAGGAAGAGGTCGATCACTAATGTTTCTTTTGTAGTCACTTAGCACTGTTTGGACCAGGGATCCTCAAACTTTTTAAACAGGGGGCCAGTTCACTGTCCATCAGACCGTTGGAGGGCCGGACTGCAGGCCCAGGACGAGTCGGCCGCTAAGCAGGACAGGCAGCGGCCCCCAAAACACCTGGCGGGCTGGATAAATGTCCTTGGCGGGCCGCAGTTTGAGGACCCCTGGTTTGGACTAATCAACTCCTTTATTCTAGAACCTGTTTTCATTAGCGATGTCATGGGCAAAATCACAGAATTCATGAAAATAGTTCAGAATTTTTACTACCTCCTTGGCAAAGGAAAGGTGGGGATTTGAAAGAAAGGAAATGGAGCTGAGAAACTTTTCCCTCATTTGAACTAAGGATCCATGCATTATGCAAAGTACCAGAAATAGACAAACTGATGCAAAAGGCTATTGGGACATCTTGTATTCTGGGACCATCTCCAGCTTTATTCTTGTGCTTTCATGACACCAGAGTCTTTTGATGCATTTATAGTTGCACAATTCAATTTTTACATTTTATACGATATATATTAGTTATTAAAAATAATGGTATAGTGGAAAAGATTTTACATGTTAATTGCCAATGAAAAGGAAAATAAAATGTTCTATTTCTTGATGATTTTTAGATAAAGCTTTTCAGAATATCACTAATGATAAGCCACAAATGGGGTAGGTAGAATGCGATATATTGATGAAGATGTTTTTATAGCAGGTAGCAAATTCATTTAAAGATAAGCTGGACATGTAGTCTTTAAGATGGAAACATAGAAAGAAATGTCACACAACTGACTGTAGTCACCAAAAGTTCATAAACAGCCACTTTTCCCATTATAACCCAAGGACAGTATCTCCAATTGAGGTACAGCCCACACGGAAGTCCTCACTTGGTTAGATTCTGAAAGATAATTTAGCGAGTAGGTTAAAGGGTCTCTATTATATAGAAGCCTCTTTGGAAGAAGAATGTTTGGGGACAGTTCTAACTCAGTGTGACCTTCAGAATGTTGACTAGAGAGAAGTTAAATTTTATATCTAATAGGAAACACAGACCACAGAGCTGTTTCTAGCCTTACGGCTTTCATCACCCTGTCTTGAAATTTCAATGTGTATTTGGTTGCATGGCACCCAGGTAAACAAAAGAGGAAGGGAGGAATACTCTATAAAATTCCACCGCTCGCTCTCTCACACACACACGCATGTACACTCTCCTGAAAGTGTTCAGATCATACAACAGAATTTGTTCATTCTTTTATTTATTTCTAATTGAAGCAAGAGAATCAGAGCTAATTAAAAATGTCCTTTTGGCCAGACCCTAAAATCAACCACACAACTTCAGTGACTGATGCACAGAGTTGGTGGAATAAGTTAGTAGACTGATTTCAGCCAGGGGAAAAAAAAAGGTCAATGCCTTATATAGTTACATGTAATTCTTATCGTGGGCGACTGACTCCATTAAGGGTCTCTCTGTTGCTCTTATTTTTCTTTTTTGAGACAAGAGTCTCCTCTGTTGCCCAGGCTGAAGTGCAATGGTGTCATCATAGCTCACTGCCGTAACCTCGAACTCCTTGGCTCACGCAATTGTCTTGCCCCAACCTCCCAAATAGCTGAGACTACAGGTATGTGCCACCACACCAGACTAATATTTGTATCTTTTATAAAAATTGGGTCTCACTCTTGCTTAGGATGGCCTCAACTCCAGATCTCAAGCAATCTACCCACCTCAGCCTCCCTGAGTGCTAGAATTACAGGCATGAGCCACCTTATCTGGCCAAGCGTCTACTCTTCGTTTCCTTTGTCCGGATTTTTATATTCTCTTGGCTTTCTCACTTCAGCTAGGAAATGAAGCCACCAGTTATATGTATTAACTGAAAACTATTTTAAGAAAATGGAGTAGGGACTGGAAAAAAAAATATTAATACACAAAAGGAAAAGATTGAAATTTTTTTAAAAAATGAAACAAGATAAATACTATTAAATATCCTAACAGCAGTAGAAAGGTTGCTTTTCTACCTTATCATGGAAATTTAAGGAAGCTAATGAAGAACAAATTACTAATTTAATAACTGAGAGGGGAGAAGAGATATTTGTTGTCTGGAAAGACATGGTATTCCTATTAGTGTTTCTGATAGGCACTCATAAACAGAACATTAGGTAACAGAATATTTTTGCATTAAATTATACATAACTAAATATAACCAAATTATGACATGGCTCAGGATGTGGGAAGCTAGCAAACATATGCAGTGCAAAATTCAGCTTGGTTTCTTTCAGCTTTAAAGAATGTGTTAAGCAAAGATTCTCAAGATATAAAAGCTAATGAACTAAATTATCAAGTTGAATTTAATTAATTTATTCTATAGAATTTAATAAAAAGATAAATGATCACGTTTCAGATGTTGCAAGTATTGCATTTTTAGAAATATCTTTCATACAGAGTTAATTTCCTGGATATTTGGCTGATTGATTTCTAAATGAAATTTAAGAGAAAGAGGTGCAATTCTCAAATGTATCTTAAAATAAGTGAAAATAAAACTAGTAGTTACTTCATGCTGGGATGCACGTTTCAAACAATAGGCAGTAGAGGACACATTTGGAATATTGCTATCACAACATATTGTATGAACAATCATATCACATATCAAGTTATGAATTTTCTTTCCAATCTTTCACTATTGCTACTACTGACTCAAAGGCATTGCAGTGAGGGACTTATGGTACCAAAAGACATACTCAAGTATGATATGAGGCTGAAGAAAAAAAATGTAGGTTCTGCCTCATAGTCTTCTGAAAGAATAACAAAACTCAAAAGATAGATTTATCAAACTTTTTGGAATGTATGCACCTAGTGATTTTGTTCAAAGAAAAAAAAGGAGACTATGGAATTGAAACAGGTCTACAAATAAGAAATTGACCTACAGGTATTCTATTTCTCCCTCATCTGTACTTCAGGCATTCTGTGGAATGTACTTATTTTTGGAAGTTAAAAGGAGCTCTGTACAGAACTATGAAATTCACAAAAGAGCATCTTTAATTTAGCTGGCCATTTGATAAGGCAACTGGCACAGAGCTTCATAGAATCAAAGCATAAAGTACTGGTAAAGCTAACAGACTATGCTAAATGATTTACAGAAACAAGTACCAAGATAAAAATTTTCTAGCCACTATATTTTACAAAAAAAAAAAAAAATTAGCTTATCTAAACCACCATGTAGAGAATATTAAAGTCAACATAGATACTTGGAATGCTGGGTTCTTTTTCCTTTTGGTAAAAAGAAACTGTTATGATAAACAATTAAAAAGATTTCTGTAAGAAAAGTATTATCTGGTGAGTGTAACAGATAACAACCATGTAAATTGTTGTACGCACGGAGATGATCTAAACATGTACAGATGAAGGGGATTTCACTTTTTAGAACTTAAAAGATTACTTTAGCAGAAAAGATCCACCACAAGCAACTTGGTGTATCTTCCTGGGGTTGAGATGGCTCTTACTGAATTCTTGTATCTAACAGTGTGTCACTTAATTGCAACATATGGCACAGATGAGACTCACTCTGGCACTACAGAATTTAAGATCTTTTGCAAACAATATATTCAACAATGAAGCCAAGGATGAGTGTCAATAAATGTTATTGTACATATCTGATCATAGTTTGGTGTGAAAAGATCAGAGCACTCCAACATAGCTTAGAAAATAGGAAAATTACTTTTGCTCTTACCAAAGAATTTCTTGCAAGAACTATTTATCTAGGCATGTTAAATATAATTGAAAATTTTTTTCACCAATATTTAAACAATAGCTTTTTATGTTTCTGTGAGACAAGTATGTCTATAAAGGTTATATTCAGTCAAAATGTTACAAACTCATTTGTATCTCTTTTATCTACAGGTACCAATGGCACAGTTTTAGAGAGCTACAGAAATCAAGAAAAGTTGTCCAACATTAAACTAAGATAATGTAAAGCTGACCTCTATTTCCCATTTCAACAGTATGTCCTTTAACAAAATGACAGTATATTAGTGTTTCCTTAGCAAGTATGTGTCAACATTAAATGAAATACTCTGTCACTGGTTCTGTAGTCCACTCTAAACATGATGGCTGAAACTGGACCTTTCTAGGCTTCTCTGAGGAAAGTTCCCTGCGTCTGTGAGTTGCAATATACACTTTACTTTTGCCAGTAGTCACGTCTATATTCCTATTCAGTCATACTTAAGGACTTGCAAATCCTATATGTAGTTCTTAAAAGTATTTGTTAGAACACCAGAGCCCAAATGATTTTATCCTGCGTTTATCAAAATCTCAGTTCCTTTTACTTAGTCTGTATTCTCAATAGCCCGTCGTCTGTTACACAGTTCTTGGCACTTCATTCCCAGATGTACCCAACAGAAAATGAAAATAAACTAGTAATCTTTGGGGACTGTTCAATCCCTTGTCTGTTCTTTCCTTCAGACAGGATCATTTCTACCCTAGGAGTCACTTCCAGGTGGAAATGTGACCATGGTCATGACTAGCCCCACAGTGTGCTTTATCTAAATAAATCCTGAAAAATTAAGAAGTTTCAGTTTTTTTAATAACAAAGATCTTCCTATCTCTTCAACCTTGGAATAATAGTTGTCTCCATTTTTATGTAAATAAAAATAATTATGAATAATTAGTTCCAAATAAAAAGCATTTAGTTCTGAATTACTTGTTTTCCAACTAACCATCAGGCATATAAAATAATGTGTAATACTATTATGGATCTGATCATGGCCTTCTACGAAGAAGCTGGAAAATAGGTATTCAACATAAAATAGGTCATTTTAAACAACAACCCTTGAAAAGTGTCACACAAGAAAGACAGAGCTGTTGAAGATCCTGGCTTGCTTTCTGGCCTCCTTGACTTTCCTTCAAAGGGACACCAGGAATAATCCTCCTAGGTTTCCATTGCTTTGATCATTGTGCTCTTGTGCTTGGGTGAGGCTGGAACTATGTGCTCTCCTTGGGTGGTTGGGTGGCCTGTGGCGGCTGCAGTGGCTGGGTGCCTGTGGCCGTTTTAATAGAGTTCAGGGTTTTGCTAAACCAAGAGTTTTTTGCAGCTTGGATTTCATTCATAAGGGCTCCTCTCTGATGTTCAAGTTCCTAATTAAAGAAAAAAAATCATTTGAGTTATGTAATTGTTTTCTCTCTGTCAAAAAATTAGACTACAGATTTTTGGAATCCCCAGGTCTACTGTGTTTCCCTGAAAATAAGACACTGTCTTATATTTATTTTTTCTCAAGAAGACACACTAGGGCTTACTTTCAGGGGATGTCTTATTTTTATTAAGTATAATACAACAATCTACATTTATTCAAATACAGTTAAGTCATCTTCTTCTGGAATCTGACAGGGGAGCCGACCTTATTGGTGGGGTTGGTGCTAGTGATGCATGAACTCTTTTCCCCTAGCTGTTCCCAAGTGCGCAATAGGATGCCTGCGACTGCAGTTACCACACAAGCAACTGCGCAAGGGCGAACAGCTTGGTGAAAGGAGCTGTGGCAGATAAAAGGTATTCTAGTTTTCCTTACCGCTCCCCACCAAAATGCATGGCGTGGCTATGCAGATATGTTGCATAGCCACGCCTATCACTAGGTCTTATTATTGGGGTAGGGCTTATATTTAACAAATGCATAGAAATACTGCTA